TCCGATCTTTTTAACAATTAAATTGGAATGGTCAAGAATACATCAAAAATTTTTGTAATTTGACATCATTTTGACAAACTAAAATTTGATCTTATTTTGATATCATTTTGATGTCATTTTGATCTTTCTGTTCTCCTTGGGAGGTAATTAGTATGTAACATAAAATTTTACCTAAATTGCCAAAAGTCCTTATTACGTGGAGACATTTTTATATGTGATCTGCAATAAGAATTTCCTCTGACATTTCCAAGCCATACATCATTTCCTTCATCAGCTAATAAAAATGCTATAACATAAGCATATAATGCAATATAATTATAGTTCTCTTTTTGAATAATATTATCCAATTATTTACTTATTTATAAGTTAATTCGCTTAAGTTAGCTTCATAGCTAGAGTTAAGTTAATACTTGATCAAATATCTCATTATTGTTAAATAGTGATAATTGCAATTATCTTTCCCTCTCAATGTAGGAACAGAATTGTTCCATATATGTGCCGCAAAAAATTTCATATGGAATTAGAATAAGTGGAAAGTGAAAAGTATAAAAAGTTTCGTTTGAAATTACATTACTGTCTAGATTACAATATAATTCTTTGAATCTGATTAACGTATTCAATAACCAATGTATTAAGTATGTGTTGACAATCACTCACGAAGAATATTGCCACCACCAAAGGTCACCCAAGAGTCCGATGTGCACAAGATACCATGTTGAAGAAAAACAACTTTTTTTCTCTGTCGATTCTTAGATAAAGGACTTTCAAATATTCTGTGTATTACCAAGTTATAACCATCTTTTGTTGTGACGTAATGCTCCTCAGCGGAATAACCATATTTCTCTACTAAACCGATCTGCATCATAGACATGTAAAATGTTAAAGATTTTTCAATGATAATAATCAATGATAATAAAATAACAAGATATTCGTCTATGTTAAAAAGACAATTCAGAGAAGATTTGAAGAGTATCTATTTTCTATCGGTCACGAAATTTTAAATATCTTTAATTCGATCAGAATGAAACGTTTGTTTCATAGATGATTAGTTCAGGTAAATTAGACAAAAAATGGTCAAATAGAAGAAAAAATTTATATATGTATATATTTATATATTTATTTTTTGTAAATAAACTGTTAAGAAAATTAGAAATAAAAGACTTCCTAAAAAATTTCCACCCTAATCGTGGGTGGAACATCCCCTTTTGGACGAAAAACTATCCTTGGAGCGATCTTGTTTGAAGTTTTCCTCATTTATCTTCTTAATTGTTACTCGGACGTGAAAAAATCATAGGACTAAAAAAATTCGTCATGAAATTTTGCATAAAAAAGATTTGATTCACCATAAAGCTAATTTCTATAGAATTTTCTCAATTAGGGTTTAAAATTACGGAACTTGAAGCGTGCAAAGAAAAAAATTGCTTTAGCACGCCTTTTCATCACAAATATCTCTGAAACCGTTATTTTATACAAAAAATGATCAGAACAAAAATTATAGAGTAGAATCTTTTCTACAAAATACATGTTCTACAATTCTTTTTTATTGTTTTTCACTGACTTTTTGCGCCTTTTTTTTGTGCATATGTATGCGTGCGATATTGATGTAGTAGTGTGTAGTGATATATTGATGTTTACTACTATATTAATGTCGTATGCATACATACACTGGCATTTTCATACAATCTTTTCTCTTATATTAAAGCCTAGGCTCATTTGTAAAAGCACAGTACTATTCTTTCATATAAGTCCCAGTGCGGCTGAAGCTTGTTTTATATGTACAAAACTCTTATATCAAGCAAATATTAATTTGGGACAGTCTATATGGTTACTCGAATCTGTTTAGTATTGGTCGGATGTATATATATGGGAAGTATCATACAGTATTATTGTATAATTACATGATTATATTTCACGAAATTTTAACTCTTAATATCTGTCTTAAACTGTACAAGCATAAATACTACACTAAACAGTGTTCTACAGAATGTATCCGTTTTACACACACATGGAGAACGGAATGTGATTATATTTCTACCACTGCAAATGTTTCCTTTTTGAATTGCAACGAGATTGTGAATCAACAATGAATGTTTCGGTTTAAGTTTGTGTTGTATTAATATAATTTTCTGGACATACCAAACGAAATGACAGATAATGAGTGCTTGGCAAGCTCGTTTTACAAAGCAGCGATATGTTTTGCCAAAATCTTTGCTATAATAAAAATTTCTCAATTTTCTAAAAAAAATTAAAAATTCTAAGTTCTTTATTAATTATATTTTATGATTACTTGTAATATGTGCTAAATGACGATACCAAGTCGTCTTGAATTTTGAAGCGAACTGTTTGAAAGTATATAAGATGTACCATTGTGCGTTTTGTTATAATCTAAAGTAACAGTCCCAAATTATCTTCATCAAGAAATCTTCTGTTTTATGTGTACAAAAAAGTTAACAGCATGAACCATGCAACATACAAATTAAGTTGAGTTTTCTATCCTTAGAGGTGTAGTATTCTTTTACGAATAATAATCGGAAATGTGCTTGCCGCAAGAAAACTTCTTCTTTTCGACAGTTGCCGGTAGATATATACACATACATGCGCAAACACGTACACATACACATAGTGTGCTAAAGCAATTTTTTACGCGCTTCAGTTCCTGTAACTTTAAACCATAATTAAGAGATTTCTATGGGAATTAGCTTTATGGTGTATCAAACCTTTCTTATGCAAAATTTTATGGCAAATTTTTTAAGTCCTATGATTTTTTCATGTCTGAGCTTTAGAAGATAAAGGTGAAAACTTCCAAACAAGACCACTCCAAGGGTAGTTTTTCATCCAAAAGAAAATGTTCCATCTACAATTCACAGAGTGGAAACTGTTTAGTCCCTTCTATTTCTAACCCTTTTGAGAGTTCATTCATAAAAAACAAAAATTATATAAATTTTTTATTCTAAATAGTCTAACTTGCCTGGACTAAATATCACTTTACTCAATATATTTGCTGTTTGAACAAAAATATTTTGAGCTGTATTGCGACTGATTATAAAACATCTTGCTGTATTAACTATGCAATTATAAAGTGTTTTTGTATCAATAATATTCTTTTGTCTAAATAATTTTTAATTTTTTAAACAGAAGGATATTATTAATTTTTCAAGTGTGCCTTTAACGCGATTAAAATATCAAAGAATAATCTCGTTGCACTTACGAAATTCAATATGGTTACATTGTTCTGTTCTATTTTAACATCTTCTGGCTTCCTTACTCTCATTATATCAGGATCCTTAGGAAACAGATTGTTAAGTATTGCTTTTCGAAAAAATTCTAAGTCACCCCAGAGATTTACTTCTGCTTTCAGTAATACTACAGTAAGTATAAGTATGAAGGAAACAAGTTTTACGTCCATTTTTATTATATATATTGTCACTAATTGTAACTTGTAAGTATCATTGTAAATATAATTTGAAATAAATTTTCTGGCACTCGCCGTTTGAATTTTAAGAAACCTATAAGTGAAATTAATGTTAGTTTATTTATAATTAATGTTAATACTTTTTGAATGTAATCGTTATAGAAAAGTATTACTGAAACTACTGAAAGATATTCAGTAATAAATTGTAAATTACTGTAAATAAACAGTAAATTATTTTCAGTATTATTTTGGTCGGTAGTTTTGAAATATTAAACAGTACACTACTGAATTACTGGCTGCAATTTATTACACAGAACTACTGGTGCTTAATACTGATTATATCTTTCTAGTTTTATTGCTAAAATAAATTTTATTGATTAGGATCGCATTCTATTACAAAAAGATTATAAACAAAACAAAATTATAATTAAAAAAATGTCTTTGGAAACTAATTTCACGGTGTTTCTAAAGCGGTTACTCATCCAAGCCATTCCTATTTCATAGTTGCTTAACCTCCGTGATCCGTTACTTCGTGATGATCCATGAACACTGAATGTTAATGGATATTTACTAGTGAGTAATGGTACATCTGTTTAATAAGTCTGTTTAATAAATCTCAAAATTTGAATATGTACAGTTAAACTATATTTTATTTATAATTAAATTTAAAGTTTTTATTGATTTTTACATTTATGGAATAGCATCTAAAATAATTAACTTTCCTGTTACTGTTTAAATTCAAGAGAGCACGAACAGAAAGAGTCAATATAACACGAGTACAATAATTAAATGTATGCGATCATATAATTTAAATACACACATATACATACATACGTAATGTTTTCTGAATTACATTATATGTATTGACTGAATTATATTATATGTATAATTAAGTATAATAACATGTAATTATACAGGGTGTTCATTAAGTCGCGGACCGGTCTAATATCTTTTGAAAAAAGATCGGAAGAGCACAC